AATGCTTTTGTTTGTATTGTGTTGATGTGCAATCGAAATTCAATGATTTTTTCTTGTTAGCTTGTTTGGGTTGTCAACACATTTTTTTTCCACCAAAGACATTATTAATGCCGGAAAGTTGTGAACGAATTTCCAGATCAAATTGTTTAGAAAATGAAAAACAATTATCAGGAGAAAAAAAACACCAACAACAACAACAATAGAGTATTGAAACTTGAAAATGATAATGATAATGAAACGAAGAAATTAAAACCAAAAATCGAAATGTGCCGAATAATTGCGCCAAAAAAAATACAAATCAGAAATGAGATTGTTTCTTATTTCGCATCTAATATTTTTCCTATATATATAGATCTGCTTGATGAAATACCACTGAAAATAAGAATCTTATTGAACGAAACAAAAACGGTTAATATTCTATGCACTCATCATCATCATCATCATTATCATTCGTTTTCGTTTAAAAGAAAAATCTACTCTACTTTCTTTACTCAACTTACTTTTATATTTTATTTTTTCATGCATTCTCAGCATTCATTATTTATTAGCTTTTTTTTTTGGCTGTCCATATCTTTTATGTGAAATTGGAATCACACAATTTGATTTGCAATACTAAATTAAACTGAATTCGAAAGCTCCTTCAGGAAAGAAAAACCAAAATTAAACAAAGATATTAGTAAAGTGATATTTATTATCATTTTTTACCACACACACAAACACAAAAAATAGGTGAAATGTGAATTAATTAATTTTCTATATTGACATACGAGAAACCAAAATGAATGAATAAAGTTTTTCTGCTCATTTACAATTATCATGCTTATATTGAAACATATTTCATTTTCATTGATTTGTTTCTTTACATGTCAATCAATATTTAAATTAATTGCAATCGAACAGTGAAAATGAAGAAGAAGATTCATCTTCTTACGTTAAACACTTGTGAATAAACATTGAATAGGCTCATTTTCATTTTATTCATTTCTGAATAAAAATTCTTTCGCATTCTGTTTGTTTGGTTGGTTGTTTTTTTTTGTTTTGTTTTTGTTTTCAATTTTGCTTTGTTTTTTAGCTTAGTTTTTCTCTAATCGACACATACACAACAAACAAACAATAAGGGCCATACACATTTTTTCACTCGAATTGACAATTATTCCAGTTGGCTTCATCATTTCATTTCATTTCTTCAATCTTCGTCATCTTGATTTTTAAAGAGCTAACAACGATACACATTCTCAACATATACATTTTGAGGGGTGAAAGAGAAAGAGAGAGGTTTATTCGTTTAGTTTCATCCCTTGTTTGCGATTCATTTAATTTCGTTATTCTGTACAAAATTGAATGAATGAATGAATGAAAACTAGTGTAAAGCTAAAATGTTATAAAACCATTTCTGTATTTTCGACGTGATCCCTTTTGTATAATATTAATAATTTTTTTATTGTCATTGAATAACATTTGTGATTTTATTCAATAAAATCTTGAGACATAAATTTTGTTTAAATAATCATACAGGTCAAGAATAAAAATTAAGAAAAACTGAATAAAACATCGATATTAAAAATTTCATGAAACATGATTTTTTTTTTAATTTTCAGGTTCAAATAACAAATTTAATTTCAGTTATGTGTATTTTGTCATCACATATTTACTATTCGTAAATTTGTATTATGTTTATCGTTAGTTGTTGATGATGGAAAAGTTTGACAATTAACTTTACGATGATAATCAAAATCCAATAATTGTAAACATCGATAATCTGGAAGTAGATGATAATAGGCAAGAAAATCGGCACCAATTATTGGATATTTTGTTTCATCTAAAATGAATTCAAAAATAAATTCATGATCAAAACCTAAATCCAATGTAATCAAACATTTTTCTGTATATTTGTTCATTATCTGTTCATCATCTGAATCATATTTTCTTTTACGTTTTTTCTTTTTTTGTTTTTTCTTCGAATCATTTCGTTGTAAAGAATAATGTTTAACAGTATCTTTTGGATAGATAGATATATTGGAATTGCCATTAATAAGGAATGATTCATTCGAATAAAGATCACGAATAAATAATTGATAATTTTTTGTTTCATGATTATGATGTTCGAAATGAAAATTTTGAAAACGTTTCTCATCAATAATTGGATCGGATAAATCAATTAATGGTTGATGTTGTTGTTGTTGCTGTTGTTGTTGCGTTTCTTCATCTTCTATAATAAGTGATGATGTTTGTTTGACAATTTCATCACGAGAATTTCGTAATCCACGAAATATGTTTTTAAATCTCATTGTTGTCTCGTTATATCTGGGAACGAAAATCTGGTTTCAAATTTCTATTTTTTTTTCTTCAAAAACGACCAATTTTTTCTTATATAAGTATATATTATCAATCACAAATATCTTGAAATTCTTATATTCAATCACAAAATAATAAATTGAAATCGGATCCAGGTGTTTGCAAAAAAAAAACTTTTTCAAATTTAATGTTGAAATCATAAATGATGGATTTTATTTTCTCACTTTATAGTCTGCTATGCGATGTGTATGTGTGTATGTGTGTTGTATGTTGATAGTAAAATTAGCCAATCCACCAATTTACCTATTTTTTCCAGTTTCAACTAGTTTTTTTTTTCGAATAACTTTCCAAAACTTTTAGTCGAAAGGAATGTACAGGAAAAAAAATCCCTGGAAAATTTCTCTATACATTGATTATTATTCACTTTTCACAATTCACATTATTCGGTTTTTATCTCTCATTCTTTCTTTCTCTCTCTCTTTCTCTCTCTGGAATGTAAAATTCTCATTGATTATTTCAATTCTTGTTTTTTTTTACGAATTTCTCTCTTAATAATCATAATAAACGATAATGTTGAAAACAGTGAAAATTGATTTATAATTAAACCGTATCATATACACCCAAACAGCTAAACATCCATCCAAATGTTTTTTTTGTTCATAAAATGAACCATTTTTTCCTAGCTCTAATGGTGGATTATTTGTATTTGGTTTTTTTTGTTTTGTTTTTGTTCGTTTGTCATATATAATGATGATGATGATGATGATGATAATATCATCATTGTTTGTTTCGATTTTTTTTTGTTTTTTGGTTGTTGTTTCATTTCATATAATCTTGTTTCATACAATGAGATTCACGGTGATGGTACGGTTGTTTATTGTTATTGTTGAATCTTATTTTTTCCCTAAATAATAATAATAACAATAAATAAATGAACCTTTTTTTTCCAGCAATGAAATTGAATGGGTAACTCTAAAAATGAATGAAAATGAATGTTTTTTGGTTTTGCTTTTTGATGACATTAAGGGATTTTTCATTTTAACAAATGTGTATATAAGAATGTTGTTTTTCTGTTTGTTTGTTTGAGATGAGTTGATGAGTTTGGTTTTAGTTTTTTTTTCTTCTTCAAAAACAAAACAAAAAAATATAAAGCTTAAAGGCTATTTATTCTGTTGAAGATCTTACCCATTTCTTATTATTAATATCTTGTTTGAAATTCTTTCTTTTTTTTTGATTTTGTTCCATTGTATTGAATGATGAACCAAAAAAAAAAATTCCTATGTATTCTTATTCTATTGAAATTTTTCACTGTTATATAAGAATTTTATTATATTTTCGACTTTTGATGGCCATCAAAAGTTTTTTTTTGTTTTGTTTTGTTTTGTTTTCTTTACATGAAAAGCTTTCATTTCTGTTGAAATATACCAAATAAACTTTGATGATGATAATGTTTGTCCAATTTTGCAATATAATCATCAAAAAAAATAATAATAATAATATTGAATATCTTTGGGATACATCCATTTACTATTCATTGACATTGGTGTTTGATGCCGAAAGAAGAAAAAAAAATGCCGATACAAATAAAGACAAATATATAATGGAGATTATATGTGAATAAATAAGTGAAAACACTCGATAATCCTTGATGACGAAGATTTAGGCGAAGAAGAGAGAGAGAGAGAGAGAGAAAAAAAATCATCACACAAACATCATCTAAATAGAAAAAAATAATATAAGAATGAATTCTTACCATGTCAGCAGAAAAAAAAATCATTATTATTATTATTATTATTTTCTTCTTTTTTTTTGGATGTCCACAATATATATCGCATATTAGCTGAATATGCAATAAATTTTATTTGATTCTCTTATTTTTTTTTCAACGATTTGTGTCCCGAATCGCCTTCACCATCATCATCATCATCATCATAATGTCACTCTGATGATTGTCCGAAACATAAAAAAAAATTCAGTTTTCATTGTTCACGTTCACACACTGTGCATATGTTTAATTTTCTATTGAAAATTACCCGTTTTGTTGTTGTTGTTGTTGTTGGCCAAAGATCAGATTGCAATCAATTTGTTTGTACGGATATTATTCAACCACATAACAACAAAAACAACAGCAATAATAATTTGTTTAGATAATTTCAAAAATGGTCGATACTTTTTTATTATTATGTAATTGACGATATTTATATAAAGTGTACCAAAAAAAAAAACACATTACATGCATACATACTATAATCATGAATTTTGTTTGTTTGTTTGTTTTTTCATTATCATTATTTTATATAAAGAATTTTTTTTTTGTTTTCGTATTAAAATCAAATAAACTTACAAACCAAAAGTATAGTGTGTAGAGTTGTTCCAGGAATTTTTTTATTATTTTCCGAGTAACATTTTGAGAGAGTGAAAGAGCAAAAGAGTTTTAACAACAACTACAACGACTGTAACTAGAATGAAAAATAGAATCTTCAAATTCAAGCGAACCAATCCACTTGATTATTTTTGTTTTTCGTTTCTCAATATCCATTTATTGTTTGTCTTTACAATGATTTTCCTAATGGTTTTTGTTGTTGTTGTTGTTGTTGTGGTTGTTTATAATTAAATTTGTTGCCGTTGTTTTCCTTTTTTTTCTCATTTTCATGTTTAACTAATTTGGATTTATTTTCATTTCTTTTTTTTCTCTTGAAAAATAGCAAGTACAAATTAAAGAAGATTTCTGTGGTATGGACGTCAATCAACCATTAGGAACGACAAATCCAATTGAAACTGAACCGGCAATAATGTTTGATAATGTATTGCTTACATCGGTTGCTGCAACTGCAACCAATGATTATTCTGTTGCATTTTTGGGTACAAATGATGGACATCTGAAAAAAGTTGTTATTGAAGGTCAACGACATCAGGTGAATGTTGATCAATCACGTGTATCGATCAAAGCATATGAATTTGCCGATATTGTCATACAACAAGGACATCGAATCAATCCGGATATGTTTGTTGCACATGGATATCTTTATGTTATGACAACAAGAAGGGTATGATAATATCTATCATCTATGATTAATATAACCTTTTTCCTTTTATGAATTAATAAAGATAACAATGGTGAAAGTTCAAGAATGTCATCAGCATCGTACCTGTATGGATTGTCTTGGTGCACGTGATCCATACTGTGGTTGGTGTTCATTAGAGAATAAGTATGTTTTTATAATTATTATTTACAATTTGGCCAAAATTTTATACCCATTACCATTCATTACATTAGATGTTCAATCCGGAATGATTGTGCAGAAGCAACATCCGATCCATTATATTGGCTTTCATATAAAAGTGGTAAATGTACAACAATTTCCAATGTTAATCCAGCTCAAATACAACGAACAACAACACGAACGGTATGTAAATCAATAAATCATCATTCATAATAATAAATCATTTTAATTTATTCATCGATTGAAACAGCTCAATCTTGTTATTGATAATCTACCGATGACAGAGAATGGCCATTATCTCTGTGTATTTACAATGTATGGAAAATCACAGACAACAAATGCAACACGTTCACCAACCGGTGTATTCTGTCCAACACCATCAACTGATACATTGCCATTAATACCAACGGATACACGTAAGTTTGATTCATTTGAAAATTGACATTTCCGATGATTATATTCACTATATCAATCAGTCACATAGCGATAGTGCAATGAAATGTCTATGTTTTTGCCAATTGTTTTTACCATCATCATTCATATTGAACATGGCACTAAAAGTTTAGTCATGTCAGACAAAGTTGTTATTGTCGTTGTTGTCGTTGTTGTTTTTCTTGTTTAGCATCATCGTTATTTTGCCATTTTTCCGTTTTATTCAATCATTGATTTCTTATGTTTGAAACGAAAATGGTGCAAAAACAAAACTTTGACAACAAAACAACAGCAATTTTTTCTTTTTCTTTTTTCGTCCATTTTTATCCGGCCTGTTCGATTCTTTGTCATTCACATCTTATGAAACGAAAAAAGTTTTCTCTTTTTTTTTGTTGAAAACAAAATTCTCCTTGCGAGAAAGAAATGAAAAATAATTCTTCATGTTAGATTATATAGATTTTTGTTGTTAAATTGAATGTCAATGTTTTGTGTTTCACATTTGTCTCAATTTTTCGAAGTTTTTTTTTTGAAAACTTCAAAAGAAAATTCTTCTCATCATCATTTCCTGTTCAGGTTCAAAATAGTATGAATTTTCTAGTTTCTGATTATTATTTTTCATCATTACAATTGTGTTTTTGGATACTTTAAAAGTATGAAAAGTTTTTATTTTTGCTGACAATCCTATTCTCAAAATGATAATGATGATCATCATCATCAGCCCTGGAATTTTGCAAGTTTTATTGCAAATAATAATTATTATTATGATGATGATGATGGTTTATTCATTTGATCTTTTGGAAAAGATTCTTTTTCACTTGGAATGTATAGTAATAGTAATAACTTTTTAATTATTTTCTCTTGCTCATCATCATTATTGATTTAATTGCTTGCTTTTTTTCCCTATTTCATTGTTTGTAACTATTTTTTTTTAAACTAACCCTTTCACTTTATCGCTAATCAAGCTAATCGAACCATTCCATATGATATAAAAACATTTACAATCGATTTTCGATTAATAACAAATTTTTTTGTTTGGTGTTGTTGAAATTGAAATAACCCAAATCACTAATTGGTTAATGGTTGTTGAGGAAACAAAAAATCACATTTTCAAACTTGGCCATCATGTTTGAGATAGTAATAAGAAAAAATAAGAAATTCTTTTTGGCTTGTTTTGGTCATCCATTGTCCATATCGTTATTTAATTTTTTTTAATTTCTTGCTTCATTTTCACTTTGTTTATAAATTATTGATTAATTTTTCAACAGTTTTTTTCGGATAAAATTTTTGTTTTTGAAAGCCACACAATTTGTCACTTGTATCACTTGAATTCGTTTTGGTTTTTCTGTTTTAACGTCTGTTTTTGTCTTGCATGTAAAGCTAATTTATTTTCTGATTCTATTTTTTCAGTGTTATGTTTACATTCGGTCATTCTATATTGAATATATTCCAATGTTTTTTGTTTTGTTTTGTTTTGAATTCAGTGTGTTTGATTTATATTTCATTATCATTAATATTATTGCGTGTTGAAAGTTTTGTCAATATTTTTCATGATTGATGAAGGAAAAAATTGTTATAGATAAAATTGAATTGATGATTGAATCTTTTTTATTTTTTTTTGTTGCTTGATCCTGACAAGATTTGATTTTGAATTGATAAAGAAAAAACAGCCATGACTTTTCTCTACGGATTTGATTATTTTTTTCCGGTTGAATATAATTCGAAATCCTTTTGTTTGTCATTATTGCATTTCAATTCCACTTTTTTCTATTGATTCTATGGAAAAAAATAATCTTTTTTTTAAATTCTTTGTATAAATTTGTTATTCGTTTTTGGTTTTTATGTTTGAATTGTTTTTGAATTTCATTGGAAAACAACTCAATAATTGTATGTAATGATAAAAAAAACCTATTGAGAATTACTTTTTTTTATTTGAAAATAGTTTTTTTTTTGGGAAATTAAAAAAAATAACAGTAGTAATCCTGGTTATATTCATAATAATTTCAAACTTTTACCCAAATGATGTACTAAAAAAAAATTAAAAAAATCTTGACTCTTCATTTATTTCAAGTTTTTGACATTGGATTCAAATTCTTGTAAAGGTAGTCAAGTGGATTCAATATTTGAATGAATGTTTTTTCGCATGACTTGACGATGATAGTCATCTTCAACAAAAAAAAAAAATTGAAAAAATAAACAAAGTTTTTGTTATCATCATCATCATCACGGACATTCATCATTCTTCAACATCTAATGACAAATTTTTTTTCTATCTTGATAGTTTTTTTTCAACATCAAATCAGATCATATTTTTGTTGTTGTTGTTATATGTCAAGAATCATTTTGTTTGAAAACTTTGTTTTTTTCTCCATATGATTAACATCTGAACATCTGCGCATTTAATTAAGCAAACAAGCAAGAAAAAGAAATTTTATGCTTTTCCCATCGCCATTTTTTTTTCATATAAATGTTTGACATTAAAATTATCATACAATTTTGTTAATGATAATAATCGTCGTTGTATTTTGTTTGTTTGTTGAAATCCAAAATAGAATTGTCAGAAGTAAAAAAGTAAATATGGAACATTTTTTTTGTTGTTCAATAAAAATGAACAGCCGAATCCATTCGGACTATATTTATTGTTGTTATTTGAGGAAAAAAAATTCTGTATAAAGAATCATATGATGATGATAGTAGTGGAATAATAACCAGATGATGCTGGACCATACAGTGCTGATGATGACAATGAAACAAGAATTTATATTGTTCCCTCTTGGTTTTTTTTCTGGTTCGCGTATTGTTTGATGGGGTTTCATTTATTAAATGAAATTTGAAAATTTTTCATTTAGCAAAAATTTCGATTTAGAATCGTCCAACAACAATACACACCATACAGCACATTGTCCGATTAATTCTTTAGTTGTAGTTTTTTTTTACTTCGGGAACATATTTTTTTCCAAAGTCTTAGAATTCGATCACATTATATCTATACATATGATGATTGAACATCAATCCTAGAACAAAATTGAATGAAAAAAAAACTAGACAACAACAACAACAACAAAAAAGTCAAGTGATGATGAAATATTTGAACAGAATATAATAAAAGAAAACCTTTTGTATGAAAAAAAATAGTTTTATTCTGGTATATATTCTCTTGTTACATCATACAATTCTTAGCGATCAAAGAAGAAAAGTTTACAGAAAAAAAAAGAAAAAGAAAATTTGATATTATTCGAACTTTGTTTTCTCCCCAATTCACTCTCTTTCCCATATATTCCAATCATTCATTCATTCATTGCGAATCAAGTTTCCAATTCAATTCATTTTATTCAATTCAATTTTTTTTTTCGATGATTATGATGATGATGATGACCATCATCATTTATATGAATGTATCGACAACGATGATGATGACGACGACGACGGGTATGTTTCATCATCAATATTTTTTTTTTCTCCTAATGATTATGATGATGATTGAAAAAAAAATATTGTTACCATATTCTCATATGGTCATTCTAATATTTGTGTGTGTGTATATCACCAATGATAAAGTCAACGAAGCGAAAATTTTTCTCTATTCGTTATGTTTCTTCTTTTTTTGTCTTTTACTCCCACACACACACACACACTATATTCGTATCCATTCATTATATACAAGTTGTATTTCATAATTTTGCCATTGCAATTGTAACACTAGTTTTTATTAGTGGACGACAGTAGTTTTCTGGTTCTTATTCTTACCAAATGCTCACGCGATGATTGATGATGCAACATACACACGCACACCATACAATGACACCACCACTGTTAAAAGAAATGGTGATGAACGTGAAAACGCGTTCAATATAAAGAATTGAATGAAGAAAGAAAAAAAAACAAACGGGAAAAGAGAATTATTTCGGTTACTCTAATTTCAGTTTCACATTTTTACTGTTATTTTATTCATCATCATCATCATCATATGTGCGATGAGCCTGAATGAATGAATGAATTTTCATTTGTTTTCCCTCTTTTCATTTTTCATTGGTTGTTATTTCATCAACATCATTGTGTTTTATATAAAGTTTCGAAATATTCAATGCCTTTTGGCTGATCGGTTTTTCGTTCGGTATTTGAAAATCTTTTCTTCATTGTCATTGTCATCATCATATACATCGTATATATATGATGATGATTATCATCATGCTGGAATCATTTTTTTCAAATATCTATGTTTGAATAAGAAGAACAATATTTTCTTAAAACTTTTTCAATCACAATGAATGTAATTTATTCTTACAACAGAAACAAAGCAAAAAATGAATCTCAAGTTAAGAAAATGGCACACACACACACAAAAAAAAAGAAAAGAAAATCCAGTACAATACCATATCGTGTCTACAATGTAAGAATATAACCAGAAAAAAAATGAACACGATATTTTCATTTTATAATTTGAAACTAAAGCACTCCATATGCATATTATTATTATTATTAAGAAGACGAAGAAAAAAAATTATTCACAATGATAATGATTATATAAAAACACGCACACTATGTTTTCATTATGAATGAATTTGATTGTCAAATCAGTCCAAAAAAAAAAAAAAAAAATAATGAATGTGAAAATTAGCTAAAAAAATTTTTTTTTTCAATAATGATGATGATCATTATGTCATTATGTATAGGGATAAATTAAAAATTCATTATATATTGATTTGTAACGAGAGTAACGATTTTCATTTTTCTTTGAATTTCATTTTTTTTTTGCAATCCAAATGAATATCTCTACACACTCTCATCTATTTGATGGCTTTTATTTATTCAATGATGATGACAATAACAAACAAACAAAAACAAAAACAAATGGAAAATTATTTAATTCTATTATTTTCTCATCATCATCATTTCTGGTTTTTTTTTTTTTTTGGTTATCGGTTTTACATTTTGGCTTTTTTTTTTTTTCATAATCTAATTTCCAAATTTTTTTTTTGGTTGGGAT